GATATACATCAGCATTAGTTTGGAACAGTTATTCTATTACTCATTCTCAGAATGTACAGAAAGAGTTTCTTCTCTCAGCACTATTTGCAGTAATCCTGAAAAAAAATTTATGAAGTAAGATATAGTGAAAAATTCTTGATCTAAAATAAAAAACCTTCAAAACAACAGGTTTAAAACATTATTAAATTGATACACTGTAAAGAGAAAAAGCTACAAGTTGAGAAGAGAAATATTTGCAGTTATAGAAGAACATTAAAAAATGAAAAAATGTGGCAACAGTTCAGAAGACCATCTGTTTAACCAACAAAGAAACACGATGATTATAATGTAAAAATACAAGATGATGGTAAAGGAAGAAAAACCAACTATCATAAGGTTAATTATGAGATTTCAAAACATATCCCAACATAAAACACAACAGTCAAAAGCACATGAACAAAATTTTATTAAGTTGATTGATTAATTGATCAGAAATCGACCACAATTATTTTATTGATTAAAATATTTGCAGAACTGAATTCTAAGGAAAACACTATTCTAATGTTAGGAAAATAATCACTCATAGATGATGTGGCAAGAAATGCCTATCAGTGTTTAGCACATCACACATAACAATAAACTTTAGATGGCTCAAATCACTCACTAAATCAATTTATTAATTAACTGTGGAATGAAAATAATGTAATGACTTTTCCACCACAGCTGTGCACTGAGGATAAATGTGTTGTTCCTGAAGAAATGGATTTCATTATCAAAGATATTATTTTGAAATACAGTATTTAAAAAGTTACATAATGTGTATATGCATGCATGTAAAGTCATGTCTGAGTCTTTCCAACCCCACGGACTGTAGCCTACCAGGCTCCTCTGTCGGTGAAATTTTCCAGACAAGAATAATGGAGTGGGTTGCCATTTCCTACTCCAGGGGAATCTTCCTGACCCAGTGGTCAAACCAGCATCTCTCAAGTCTCCTGCACTGGCAGGCAGATTCTTTGCTGCTGCACCACAATATCAAGACACAAATAATTAGAAACTACAATATGATGATTTCTGTCCAAAATGGCATGGAATCACTGAAAATATCTAAAGCTGGTAAGGTAAAAGAGTGTTTGTAGGTACTGCTGTTCAGAGTACCTATTGTTACAAAGAACCATTAAAACATCCCCACCCAACCAAATGTTGGTTTCTAAATGCTATTCTCCAAAAAAGAAACCAGGGTTCCTTGGAAAATAGCTGAACCACAAGCTGGGACAAATACAGATGAACCTAGAATAAGTTTTTTATGAAACCAGAGAATAAGAGAGTGAATAAAATGTAAAAGTAAGAAAGTAAGTGAGAAACTAAATACATAGTCTATGGCAAGAGAAGCTACCAAAAGGCCACCAAGAGCTCCTAATAGCTAGCCCTTGAACAATTTGAGCCCCAAATAAATAACAACATTAGAGGCATATAAACCAAAGAATAAAGTAAGTATTCATAAGTCCACACTGATATCAACAAGTCACTGTATAAATAAATACATGGGAGAGAAGGAGTAATTCTTCCTTATAAAATAATTCCACTTGCAGCAATCTGACTTAGAGGATAATTTCTGAGATGTAGTTAAAGATTTTCATGTTCAAAGATGCTTACATTTTACAGTTAGAATTCGACATGGAACAACAGACTGGTTCCAAATCGGAAAAGGAGTACATCAAGGCTGTATATTGTCACCCTGCTTATTTAACTTATATGCAGACTACACCATGAGAAACACTGGGCTGGAGGAAGCACAAACTGGAATCAAGATTGCCGGGAGAAATGTCAATCACCTCAGATATGCAGATGACACCACCCTTATGGCAGAAAGTGAAGAAGAACTAAAGAGCCTCTTGATGAAAGTGAAGGAGAGTGAAAAAGTTGGCTTAAAGCTCACCATTCAGAAAACTAAGATCATGGCATCCTGTCCCATCACTTCATGGCAAATAGATGGGGAAACAGTGGAAATAGTGGCTGACTTTATTTTTTTGGGCTCCAAAATCACCACAGATGGTGATTGCAGCCATGAAATTAAAAGATGCTTACTTCTTGGAAGGAAAGTTATGACCAACCTAGACAGCATATTGAAAAGCAGAGACATTACTTTGACAACAAAGGTCCGTCTAGTCAAGGCTATGGTTTTTCCAGTAATCATGTATGGATGTGTGAGTTGGAGTATAAAGAAAGTTGAGCGCCAAAGAATTGATGCTTTGAACTGTGGTATTGGAGAAGACTTTTGAGAGTCCCTTGGACTGCAAGGAGATCCAACCAGTCCATCCTAAAGGATATCAATCCTGGGTGTTCATTGGAAGGACTGATGTTGAAGCTGAAACTCCAATATTTTGGCCACCTGATGCAAAGAACTGACTCATTTGAAAAGATCCTGATGCTGGGAAAGATTGAGGGCAGGAGGAGAAGGGGATGACAGAGGATGAGATGGTTGGATGGCATCACTGACTCAATGGACATGAGTTTGGGCCAACTCCAGGGGTTGATGATGGACAGGGAGGCCTGGCATGCTGTGGATCATGGGGTCACAAAGAGCCAGACACGACTGAGCAACTGAACTGAACTGATCTCAAATATCTTTTTTCTGAAATAGTTAAGGGGATAGTATATGTAAACTGCAACTTTAGCTTGTTTGCTTTATAGTTCAGAAAGCCATTATCAATTTTTCTGCTGCATTGTTTAATGTGACAAAGTTCAGGGTAGAAACTAAAAGTGCATTTTTCCTAAATTAAGAGGAAGATTAAAATAAATGAATAATAATTATCATTTTTATTACTTAATAAAAATAAATTTTACTTAAATAACTGATTAACAATCCCACATCAAATATGCAATAACATTCATCACATATTTAATATATTATAAGTATACCTGAGCACACATTCATTTGCAATACATCACACTTTTATTTGTTAATCATCCCTTTTATGAACCAATATCCTCACCAAAATTTTCTATTGTGCATTATATACACAATCATCCAACACATAAAATGTTAACAGCTTTAACTTTAGAATTATTTGATAATGCTACATTATCTAATACTAAGTAATACATTATCCAATACTAAATAATTTCAGACCAAAGTATGTATTTTATTAATTTAAACGTCTTATCTCCTAAAAAAGTTTATAACTCAAAAAAGAATGACTGAAATAAACATGGAAAATAAGATATTAATAAAATTAATACAGATAATGAAAATTATAAGACACTGTATTATAATTTGACTCCAACTATCCACAAAACTGCTCTAGTTATGAATTTGCTTTAGGAGCAAATTCTACATGGTTTTTAGGCTATATCCAAGCAATATTTTACATTCAAATGAAGATGATTCATCTAATTTTACAAATGACTTACCTACCAAATAGTTTTACTTTTTAAATGGAAACTGATTGCACAGATACGATCTTCTGATAAAATACAAGATATGAATAAATGCATAATTTCCAATACTTTGGAACTCTGTTCTCATCAATAAGCAGTTTTCTGGAACATCAAAAAATGTGGCAAAATTCAGTATCCCTTAACCTCTTAATCTTATTCTGCCCCAAGTGCCTTGAACTGTTAATGGACAGAACAAATCACTAATATGGATTCTGCTTCTTTACCTCATTTTCCAGAGCACAGCACAGTGCCTGGCTCATTGCTGGTGGTCAAGAAATATTCAATTAAAGAAAACTGAAGTATACTATTTCTTTTTGACATAAATTATGATAGGCTTTCATTTTGATCCATGTGAAGTTATGAATCTGGACCAGCTTCATTAATAAAATTGATATTATTAAAAAAGAAAATCCCCATATACAGTTAAATCAAGTAGAACATTAAAAAAATCAGTGTAAACTTTCCACCTAAGTGAGTGTACTATGGAGGATGAGAAACATCTACAATAAGAAAACTTTAGAAAGCCACTGTTGATGAATGTGATTTAGAAATGGGTCTACTGTTAATCAGGTGATGAAAGATTGATGGTTCCTGTAATTAAACTCCTGATGAAGCTGTGAGTAATAAAAAATCAGGAAAACAAATTGAGAAAACAATTTAATTTGATAAGCAGCCATATTTTCTTATACTCATTTTCCTTAAGGAAAAGGGAAAGCAGATTTTAGAAGAAAAGGGTAGGGTAGCACTTTTTATCTCCAAACACTTAAGAATCTGGCTGGAATAACTCTAGGAGCAAGTCTTTCTATCACAGAGAAGTGCAGATATCTGTCTTAGTTTTTGTTGTCAAAATTAATCAAATTAACAAAAAAATTTTAACAAAAGAAGCCACATTTGCTAGTCAACCTTGTAATAAGACATACTTTGAAAGTATTTCTGTCTCTATACATAAATATGTGTGTGTGTGTGTCTATAGTGACACACACACCCATATGTGTATGCATATGTGTGCATCAGTGTATGTACGTATACATGTATCTATGAAAATTTAAGCTTCATGAAAATATGTCTTTCAAATAACACACAAACACATTCTTCTTATATGGTATTAAGACTTCTTATATGTTTTTGAATAATTCACAAACTCACTCCCTCGGAATAAGGTGAACAGCATTTTACCATATCACCTCTTCAGAAACCTTTTTAAGATGTTGCATCCTGATAGTCCTCAAAGTTTCTAAGTGTTTTCAGATGCTTGTTTCTGTTCCTAATAAAATTTTGGAGGAATGTGCATAAAAGTAGATTAAACTATATCAGACTCTTTAAAAGAAAACACTGCTCTCCTTTCAAGAGGGTTTTTATGTAGTTAAAAAAAAAAAATGAGCATTGCAAGCAGTTCTGAAAACACAACCAAGATGCAATTTGATAAATAGCCTTCCATCACCCCAGCCAGAGCAGTGGAAAAGCACACGATCAGCACTTTCATCAAAAGCACTATTGACTCCTCGTTTTTCTATCTCATTTTATCTTGGCTTTCTCATTTTGTTTACTCAGTCAATGATTGGGGAAAAAAAATGACTCCTTACCCTTTGGATGAGTTACGATGGAGTCCACCGGAGAAGAGTCCTTTTCTACATCTTTGCTGCTGTCACTGCCTCCCTCGCCACCGCTCTCTCTTTCGATCAGTTTATCCACCATGGCAATAATGCAGTTCAGGCTCTTCCCCACACTGGCCCACACCCTGTCCTGAAAAGAGCATTGAGTATCACTATGGATCTTTATTGCAAAACCAAGGTGAGGCAAAATCAGATGAATACACTTGAGGACAGCAGGAAGAGGAGCAATCATGCAGACTGGGCGACTCTAATACCCCCCTTCGTTTGGCCAAATTATGGATAGACAAGAAATCTATTTTCTCTTACTAAAGTGTAAATCAAGTGCTATGATCTTTCTATCTAGGTCATTGTTTTTGCCCTTTCATATAACAATGATGAACTATCATTCAACGTGGATCCATAATTGAGCACAAATTACATTTTACACTGGAGATATCTATTTTCTTTATCAATAATTAGTGTGGGAGCAAAGAGTCACCAATATTTTAAAATAATGACTGCTGCTTGCATTCAAATTTCTTTTCTTTTTATTGTGATAATATAGATATAACGTAAAGCTGACAATTTTAGCCATTTTTAGGCATGCCGTTCAGTGGCATTCAGTATTGATACATTCACACGGGTGTGCAGCCATCATCACTATCTGGCTCCAGCATTTTTCATCTTCCTAAGCTGAAAATCTGTACCCTGTAACATGAATTGTCCATTCACCCTGTCACCCACCCCTGGCAACCACCATTGTACTTCCTGTTGCTATGAATTTGATGACTCTAAGAATTAAAAGTTCTTAAAGTGTGGTCTTCAGATCATCCTAACAGAATGACCTAGAGAATTAAAATGCATATCCGTGGGCACCACCAAGTCTTCAGAACAGTTTCAGATGAACAGATACACACTATGAATAAAGTGAATTATCAACAAGGACCAACTGTATAGCATAGGGAACTCTATTCAGTATTCTGTAATAGCCTACATGGGGAAAAAAATCTGAAAAGAATGAACATGCGTATAACTTCATATATGCATAACTGAATCACTCTGCTGTATACCTGGAACTAACACAACACTGTAAATCAACTCTATCCCAATACAAAATAAAAAGTAAATTATTTAAAAAAACAATTGGGAACACTAAGTTGAAATTTCAATAAGCTTTTTAGGTGCTCAGAAATGAGGTGATTTTCCAGTGGGAGACCAATGACATGGTTTCTACAAAAGTTCTTGGTAAATTTATTGCAATTTGGCAAAATCACATCCTATCCTCTTTCCTAAATAAATCATACTTGCTTTTCATAACCCTCTATCTTAAGTATAAAATAAGCTGTTAATCACAAGTAATCATAGCAAATTTTTCTGTAAACACAGATCATTCCTCCCAAGAATTAAAAGCACATTTCATTTGCTTTTAATGGAAGCTGATAAATCCATAAACGATATCATCTTCTGCCTAGTACCTGAAAAAATGAAGTGGAAATCTTGAGACCTAAAAAGCTCATCACTTCCAGGAGGCACTGCTGGAGAAATGTAAGCAAGCTGAGTTTGTGACATCACTCACTGAGATTCGGTGAGGAGTTTATATTCTAGATCATATAGCCAAACTGTGCTGTGCAATGCTATGCTTAGTCACTCAGTCCTATCCAACTCTTTTGTGACCTCATGGACTATAGGCTCCTTTGTCCATGGGATTCTCCAGGAAAGAATACTGGAGTGGGAAGCCATGCCCTCCTCCAGGGAATCTTCCCAACCCAGGGATAGAACCCAGGTCACCCACGTTGCAGGCAGATTCTTTACTGACCGAGCCACAAGAGAAGCCCAAGAATACTGGAGTGGGTAGCCTATCCCTTCTCCAAAGGATCTTCCTGACCCAGGAATTGAACCAGATCTCCTGCATTACAGGTGGATTCTTTACCAGGGAACTTTACCAGGTAGCTTTATCAGTGACCACGGAAGCCCATAACCAAACAAAACAGTCCCTATTCTGAATATGCCTTAATCACCACCATCAACCTTATTTTTCAGACGATAAGCTGAGAAATGAAGCAATTCTCCAGCTAATACTGTGGATAAACTCTGTTACTGAGGGAAAAAGGAGGAAAGAATTTCTCTTAATTTTTAGTCTAGCTCTGTAGAGGAGATAGGCTTTCAACTCTCTTCCTGTTACTCATGATGAGAGAAACTTTACGTTTTGATCAAAGATGAGTAGTATTGCATGCTCTCTTTCTTATGTCAAAGGCATACAGAGGATGGATCATCTGCTCTTAATCACATCTTTGAAGAGCATGAACAGAAGGGTCTATAAGAGGGTGATTTTACATTCTCCATCTAGCCATTGTTCTTCTTCCTTTATAGATACATCAGGTTATACAACTCTGCTGTGAGAAAAAAGTCACCTTTGCAGCCAGTACAGAGATCTTCACTGGCATGAAGAACAAACTAAAGTGTGCTCACTGATTAAGATCAACAATCATATAGCAAACAGTTGTGTTGTGTGTGGCAAACAGTCTTAAAACACTTAAATGGGTGGAGGGCACACAAACTGGGAGGATGTTTTGGGGGGAAGAAGCAGAGTAGGTGCTTATGTAACTAATAGATGATTCATGCACAGTCAGATATTCTGCTGAAGGCACATTTAGCAGCAGACTCTAAGCAGACTCAGTCTGTTCTTTATCTTTTGGAGAGCAGATCCTGCCAGGCCAGTGGTGACAGAACCCTGAGCTTTGCCGGATACTGCTTCCATCTCTTTTAAGGCATTGACAGAGGAGATTAAAGTCACTGATTTACATTGCTGTCTCTCATAGCAGACTGGGAGTTATCTGAGAGGAGAAGGAAATGGCCATCCACTCCAGTATTCTTGCCTGAAAGTCCCATGGATGGAGGAGCCTGAGGGGCCATAGTCCAAAGGATTGCAATGAGCTGGACACAGCTGAGGGACATGTGTCCTCGGTACATCGCAGAAGGTCTGGAAGAAAGGCAGAGAGGGAACGAAAGAGGGAGGAAGAGAGAGGACGCCAACCCAGAGGCAGACTGGGGACTGCTATTTATATTCACCTGATATATGGACATTAGCTGATTTAACCTTCAAAAACCACCACATAATATCAATATTATTGACTCAGAGTTTAGAGCTGAGGAAACTTCTGGTAAGAGACACTGAATAACATTCAATATTAAAATGGTAGAGGTAGACTAGAAATTCCATTTGATTCCAAAGATTTCACTTATTCTTTATGATTTCCCACAGAAATCTGGTATCCAGTAGGAATTCCTTTTCATGAAATCACCAGAACTCTGGGGACAAGCTTCGGGGAGAGGGAGCCCAGGAAGGGTTAGGTATACGTGCGTGTCACCTCACAAAACTAAGATTAGGTTTCAGTTATCTGAGGCTTTAAAATGAGCCCAGTGGCAAATTCTGAACTAACAGAAGATTCTACAAAAAGGTCAGGCTGGTCCCATGTACCATGAAGTCTGAAATCAACAGTACCATGTAATTAGGGGTGTAACAATCACTTGACTAAAGGACCAATCAGTCTGGGTCAAAGGACATAAGTAGCAAATATTAACAGAGGGCAACGTTAGCAACAAGGCCGCAAATCCATTTGTGGGCCCAGGATATGAAACAGGGAGTGGCCTACAGGGAGGGGAGGTGATAATTCACTTCTTAGAAGATAATTAAGGAATATTATTAACTACCAGCAAGATAATTATTTTGGAGCTAGGATGCTAACAATGAGTAGCAAACATTTTTGAAGATGTACCTCGAGTATCTGATTTCTAAACAAGCCATTTTCCATCATGTCTCTGAGAAACCATATGCTCAGAGGAAAATAACCAGCCAAAATCCATTCTCATTTTGGTGACTTCTTATTCACGAGGCCAGTCCATGTGGGGGATTCTTTTTGTTCAGATTGCTGGTATGACTGGGACGTACTCCACTTTCTTTACCACTAAAGTCATGAAGAGAAGACAGTGGAAGCATGAAGACTGGCTGGAGTTCTTCATGTTTCCAGCCTTCCCCCTCCCCATTTTCAGGCAAGAGAAATATGATCTTCCTCCAGATTTTGTTTATCCCCTCAGCCACGTGACAGGTTTAGAAACACATACACACATATACACAACGACAACCTATCAGAAAAGCAGATGGCTGGGCCTTCCTTCTTCTCCCCCTCCAATAGCAGTCATTAGCCTACTACTGAAGAGAGTAACTGGACATTGGTGGGTTAAAGTCTAACCTTTATTAAATGGAGCTTAATGCTGTCCTCGACCCTAATACCACCTTCAGAAAACCCAACTTCTAGAAGGTGAAGTGGCTATCAACTTTTGCTCAGCAATGAGGGGAAAAGTCAGTGGGGAACAAGCAATGCTATTTATTCCATTCTGAGTCAGGTTCTGATTTTGGTTCTTATTTATTTCTGGGTTAGGACCTAAGCTAACATGCAGGTCAAAGCCAGTGGCAATGGATATACACATTTGAAAGATGTAGACATGAGTAGCCAGGGGGCTATTACACCTGGCAAAGTGAACCATGAGGGTAGGAAACATGGTGCTTACTCAGCATGTCACACATTTATGAGCTCAAGAGAAATCCTTATTGCTTTGGATCAGCAGTTAATGTAAAAAAAAAAAAAAACTCATTCAGCAATCCTTAGCTGATTAACTTTTCTAGGGATGACTTCTGATCAGCAAGAATGTAAAGGCTAAACTAGAGTTGATATGGGGACCCTGTTGTATCTTTATCTCCATGCATAATTTGCCACTGGTCACTATGAATTTCTGAGCACTCTGATTAGAACCAGTTAGTAAATTAACAAGACTGATCTCATCTTTAAAAAGAAGCTTCAGTCTATCCTTGAGTTGACTGAGAGTAATCTGCACTCCTCAAGCCTGGTTCCTCCACACTGCAAATCTGTGTTCATCCCATAGCTTGATAACTCTCCTTTCTGAATCCTGGAGTTGCACATATAATACTCTACGGTACAAGATGGCACATTCATGGCCCAAGCTACATTAATACACACATACCTACACACATGTACATAAACACCATGCCCATGACATACATATCATGTCCACTAGAATCAGCCAGATATGTGACATCCATCAGAATTGAGATGCCCCCAACCTTTGCTTCTT